CCCATCATGTGCAGATGAAATAACTAAATAGGAATGTGCTGTTCAAATGACTGGATAAGTGAACTGAATATTTGCACAACTGATTGTTTGGAGAAGGTCGACTCCTTTAGTATATCAGCCCCAGCTGTCTCCAGCTTCTGTGAGTAACATGTAATAGGCTTTTATGGACTCTGTACTACTTGTGGCAGAATTTACGTGATGTTAAAAAAAGTAGATGTTTTCCATTAAAAAACCCCCAGGGCCTGACAACTGTGACTCTTGTGCCACCCCCTTCCTCCCCAATTGACTGCATAGCCTAAGGCTAGACATGCACGCTTCATTTTCTCTCGCTCAGCCCGGGGTCTGAATGGAAGGAAATACTCAATGCTTTTATCCATGCTAAACAGTCAGCGCAAAGGTGAGCACACAAACCTTCAGTCTGTCCTGAGCGATCAGCCATGGTATGGAGAAGGGGAAAACTTGGGAGATGTGGCACTCTCTTGTGATCCATAGTTTGTGTGGCTCATTATAACAATGATCCAGAATATGGGAGAATAGGCTGGCTTGATAGTAAAGCTTAAAATTCGGAAGGCCAATACCTCCTTCAGTTTTGGGTCGGATCAACAAATCAAAACTTGGCGTATGGCATCAGGTGACCCAGAGGTATTTTAGAAAAGCAGAGCACAAGTGTCAGAAAATTGATCTAGGAGCAAACACGGGTAATATTTGGAATAAATAAAGGAATCTGGGAAGAATGTCCATATTAAGAATTGTGGCTCGAATGCAGGAAAGGCCACAATATTCTAACAGATTTTTGGTCTCTGAAGAGCCACTAACTACCAAATATATTCGGCCCCTGGCCACACCACACCACCTTGGGGACAACCTTCATATTATCCGCAGATATATCAATATTCAAATTTCCGGTTCACTACGCGTTCACACCGTGAATTGTGCACACCATACCAAGACAGTCCCCAAACATTACCCACCAGCATCTATTTGGCCACCTTCAAAGACGCCAAACCACCCAAGCTGCCATGACACCTTAAAAACTACTAAACTACTAAATCTAGAGGGGGTAGATGGGAAGTTCTATCTTCAGCTGACTATCTCCAACTACTCCTGTGACCATGTCCGAAGCTCCTCCTAAGCTTGACCACTGATCAATTATGTAAGTGACCATACCTTAATGTAAAAGCCCTATTTTAACCCCTTGATTCCTTGCCTCCCCTATTCACATTGTCATGTATACCCCCCTGCCATTTTTTTAATGCTCCAGGCCTAAATAAAACTGTATCCTTTCAAAAACTCACACATTGAAAAACTAAGAACAATTGAATGGTACAATATAAAAGAGATGAAGAGATGAAGTTTTATCAAAAGACAAGACAGAAGGTGTCCCTATCACTCATCAATTCGGTTGCCTTAGAAACTCAAAGGTCTGATTTACTAAGGTTGTAAACGTGCTCGCTAAGCTGTTAGCCTTGATGAAGCAGGCATACCTGTCGGATTTATAAATAGCGAACATGAAGACTTGTATGAGCGTAAATGCACAAGAGTATTGAGGTTGGGATTGGTGTTATTTTACTCATGTATACGTTTTTACCAATCATTGCAATTTTTTTATGCTTTGAAATGTATCATTAAAATCACCTAAATAAATTATTGAATATTATATTTATTTTTAAAGGAGAAGAATGGAGTATTTTCAGCAGCATATATTTCAAGGTTTTTTTAAATTATTGTTTGAGTTATATTATTGCAGTGTTTGGCCAAGGTACATTTTACAGTTTTTACTATTTTCTACTGTTTTTATTGTGGTAAATATATCTACCAACGACTCCTGGCTCATCCTCCTGGCTGTCTCTCCTGGCTCATCCTCCTGGCTGTCTCTCCTGGTTCATCCTCCTGGCTGTCTCTCCTCGTTTTCTCTCCTGGCTGTCTTTCTTCGCTCTTGGCTGTCTCTCCTTGCTCTCTCCCCTGGTTGTCTCTCCTCTCTCTGGCTGTCTCTCCTCTGTCTCTTTCCTGGCTGTCTCTCCTTGATCTCTCTCCTGTCTGTCTCTCCTGGCTCACCTTGCTGTATTTTGCAAACAGTGTAGTGCAACAGGCTGTGTAAACTAATATTCTTTGATGTAATACATAGCACTTCAACCACCAGTATCTACCAGAAAGGTGTCAGGGAGCTTGGCTCAGCAGACTCAGGCTAATAGGTAATCATGTGTGCACAGCCAAATAAATATACCAAAATGGAATAAAGGGGCCGCCATTCACACCCTTCGTGATCTACCAGCATCAGTTTTGAGAGCTACTGGTAGATCACGATCTACCTAATGGGCACCCCTGCTCTAGAGGGAGCCCCCAGTAGCTCAGTACAGATACTCATTCTCTCTCTTAAAACTGCTGAGATAATTAAAAATAGAGAAATGACGGTTCTGAACTTTGAAGGTAACTGGATCATACTCAATCAACACACATATAAATAAAATCCTAATATTTATTTACTTACATGAAAATATTAATAATGTTTTTTGGCCTGCATTCAACCAGCATAAGTTGGGGAGGCAATATTTTTTATTCTCTTCACGTTCCGTGGCTCCGATATTGCTTCTTCAGTAGAAGGCTACAATACTCGAATCAAATAACAAGATAATTTTAGATACTAAGTATTAAAATACAGCACAATAAGAGTTCCAAGAGTTTGCTGATGGATATATACGTGCGCATTCATGATAAAATCCACAATCAGTGGTCCCTGTTAATTCCATAAACCTGTGGCATGAATGAGGGGATACATACAGGAAGCACCTGAATGGCAAAATCTCACACCACTACCTGACAATACACAGGATTACAGTATTTTCCACATAAGTGAACTGAACTGAGATAAGATATCAGCTGCACAGGGAGCACATTGGTTTCAGCAAGTTTATTTAGTAAAGGGGTAGAGGTTGTTCATTTATCAAAGTCATTATTCACTTTGTGTGGTGTATGATGGATAATGCACCCTGCCACACTGCAAAAAATGGTTCAAGAATGGTTTGAGGAACACAACAAACAAATTCAAGGTGTTGAATTGGCCTCCAAATTCTCCAGATCTTAATCCAATCGATCATCTGTGGGATGTGCTGGAAAAACAAGTCCGATCCATGGAGGACCAACCTCACAACTTACAGGGATTAAAGGATCTGTTACTGAAGGCTTGGTGCCAGATACCACAGCATACCTTCAGGGGTCTAGTAGAGTCCATGCATTGACAGGTCAGGGCTGTTTTGGCAGCAAAAAGTGGTCCTACTCAATATTAGGTGGGTGGTCATAATGCTGAGGCTGCTCAGTGTATAAATACAAATTATACAGAGAAACAAGGTTTTTAAAAAAAAAATTATAATATATTAATAAGATTGCTTACATCGAGCTAATTTCCTTGACATGTTTACATTGAAATGACTATACATTCCCTTTAAATAACCTATGTTTTCATTGTGCTTTTCTATATTTAATGTTTAAGTCACGAAAAACACATATTTAATTAAGCACTCTATAATATTCATGACTATACACTCTGTCTGCAGCACCCAGAGGAACTTGCAGCCAACTAATTCCACGGCCAGTGCACACGTGTGCCCGGTCTTCCTCTGTAATGTGCCTGTGTACATGTATGGGCTCCTGAGACTTCCAACTAACATGCACACATGCAGTTTTAAAAAGCTTGCTTAGCCAATATTCATGGAGGAGACACATTTAAAGCATTAATGGTGATTATAACCGCATTGGTGTACTTGCAACACCTTTTTTTTTTTATTTGCTCTAACAGTTAATTTTCCAGGACAAGCTTTCAGGGGCGTAACACCTTCTACTAGGTCCAAGCAGTACTACCTGGACAATTGAATTTCAGATTTAGTTTTATAGGAGAATAGAGTATTTCCCCTTTTATTAATACTGAGTTGTATTATTGCAGTGTTTGCCTAAAGTATATATTTTATTTGTTTTTTTATGCGTAACAACTCGTCTAGGTCCGTCTAAAAAGCCAGTCCTAAAAAATAAGTGCAAAATAAATGTATTGGCATTAATCAGTATTGAAAGATTGGTTTAAAAAAAAAAAGATCAATAACGGTACTCAGACCACTGGTAGGATGTAATGTCAGCCTCACTTGGGGACCACCAGCCAAGAACCAGAGGTAAGGTGTTTTTAGTGTTTTAAATTTTTCCGATTTAATGCAACGCTTTGAGATGGTGGGGGGCCTGATGTAATAATGACCTTGCATTTTAGCGTAGAGCAGGGGTAGGCAACCTTGGCACTCCAGTTGTGATGAAACTACAAATCCCTTCATGCTCCTGCCTCTGGGAGTCATGGCTGTGACTATCCTGCAATGCCTTATGGGGCTTGTAGTTCCACAACAACTGGAGCACTGAGGTTGCCTACCACCTGGTAAAGAGTTAATTACACTTATCTCTGTGCTGTCCTTTCTTGGCTGTGAGGCTGGAGCACAGCATTATTGTTAACTCAGTGTTTCTGGTCCATGCACTGTCCCTGCTATGTTATAAATGAAACTAGTCCATGCCTATGGCAACTTCATTGACTTCTATTGAAGCAACTTGTACCATTCAAAAGATATCAAGAACAGGATGTAGAGGGCACATGGAGCAGAAACATAGAGCTTTTAAATTTACACTTTGAACTTACAGTATCTCTCGCTGTCCTTCAAATCAAGTTTCTGGCCCTCTTTTTCAATTTTTTTATCTATTGCTAAAGGTCAATTTCACCGTTGTGACCATGTTTCATGTTACACCTATATTTAGGGTGTAACATGAATCATGAAACATGGTCACATTCTCCAGCACCCCACCATCAAAGCTCTCCTCCACTTATCTGAATTGCAGATAAGTACTTCCAATACGGTGATGTGGAGATTAACAGTTGGATAAAATATAGGCACGGTGAGTGATCTGATGTGTACAGTGGACTGGTATAAGATACATAGACTCACCATTGAGTAAATTAGGTTGCAGGCTAAGCGACGATGGTACATACAGATGCTGTGGAGAGCAAAGAGTGCTTGATTTGTGGAACTTCAGGTGAGGACTTCTGATACAGTGACGTTGAGATCAACAGTTGGATAAAATATAAGCACGGTGATTGATCTGATGTGCACAGCGGGCTTGAGGAGGAGTCCATCCAATGATCGCGGTTGCAATGCTTTGCAGGCAAAAAATGAATTTGATCAATGTCTGTACATTTATTGATTTTTTTTTGTGCAAAAAGTGGAATGATTTCTGGTACTCCCTCTAGAAAAAAAAAATCTCCATTGACCCCCTGAGAGCAACCATCAGAGACCATTGAATCCATAGAACTTTGGTAAGAATCTTCTGCTTTATAATAAACAGTATTTATTTACAACACTAGATGGCAGTAAGTGTCATAAATTGTTCTAAGTCTAGATTTCTGTAGCCTGTATTTGTGTCACTGTAAATTTGGATAGCTTTGTGCTGAATGTGAAAATATCTGGACAAAAGGGGAACAAGGAACATAATCTAATCTTACATCATGCTAATTAGGCTTATCTGCCCTTTAAATGTGTTAAAGTAATTTAACCCTTACTATTCTTTCTATACTGGAAGCTATGTGAGCACATAAATAGAAACAAAATGACCCCCAGGTCCCTAATAAGATGGTGGAATCACAGATGTACTATAAGGATATCCTCTACAAAATAGCTGAGAGCACCTCGATCTTTCCTGTTCCACTGACAGTTTATATTAAAGTCTTTGTTACTAACGTGCACATAGAAGTATTCTGTTTTTTTAAATTTGTATTTCTATAGCATTTTCCCAGGCAGGCAGTTGTCTTGGGCAAGCTCAGCTGAGCAAATTACCTACCAGTAGGGATGCACCGATACCGATACTAGTATCGGTATCGGTGCCGATACCGAGTATTTGGGTGAGTACTTGTACTCGCCCAAATGCTCCGATACCTAGCACGAGTACTTCCTGTATCATTACACGCTGCCCGGTTTCCTGATTGGCCAGGAAACGGCTCCATGCTCTCTGGTCACTTGTGATGAGAGAGCATGGAGCCGACTTCCCGGCCAATCAAGAAGCCAGGTAGCGTGCAATGATGCGCTGCCCGGCTTCCCAATCAGGAAACTAGCAAATCTGGAAGCCGGCCGTCGTGTAATGACGCAGCGCCCAGCATTCTGATTGGCCGGGAAGCCGGCGTCATGCTCCCTCGTCATCTCATGAATCGTTTTTATTAAGAAAGTGACCTTAAAGCATTAGTTTGTATTGCTTTAGAAAAAATGTGACCTGTCCCTTTAAGAAAAAGTATCGGTAATTGGTATCTGCGAGTACTTGATCAAAAGTATCGGTACTCGTACTCGGTCTTAAAAAAGTGGTATTGGTGCATCCCTACCTACCAGCATATCTCATGAGTGTGGAAGTATACCAGAGTACTGGGAGGAAACTCACACAAGTACAGGGAGAACATGCAAACTTCATGCAGATAGTGTCCTGACCAGGATTCGAACCGGAGACCCTGAGTGTAATTAATGGGAAATATTTTTCAGCACTTTGGTAAATATCTGCAAACAATCAGCGATCATTATCTTTTCCCCAAAAGGGAAAAAAAAATCACTAGACAGGTTTGGAGGAAGATGTTGGGAATTTGCAGAATTTCTTATTTTCCCTATTTCTCCCAGATTAAAGTGAATGAGTCACGTCCAAGTTTACGATGTCGGAATAAAATGCTGTAGAAGTTGGTTTTATTTTTACATTCTTGCTTCCATTTTAACTGCCTGCAGATAAATCAGTAGTGAAAAATCAGCTCTAACGGATCCTTTTATTCAAAGAAGAACTCCGGGAAAAAGTGATCTTAACCCTTGCGGTGGTGCTACCCCCTGCACAGCAAGGGTTAAGAGCTCATTTTCGTCTTGGAGCGAAAATAACAAAATTATACTCACCTGAATCTCGGAGCTGGCTGGCTGCTACTCCGGTCTCTGAAGCCTCTCATTTCCTCTGCTCCAGTAATGGAATGTCCCTCGGTGTCCTCATGTCCTATGTTTGAAGGCTGGCCGCAGGCTAGCCTGGATTTGTGGGAGGAGCCTGTGCCTTTAAAGACGGCACGGCTCACAGGGAATTACGTCGGCGGGTCACGAACGTCCCCACCCGCCCATTCCCCTTGCTTTCATTCATTCATTCATTTCATTTACATTCAGGGTATGCCCCCTTTTAGACATACTGACCTCAGAAGGCCAAGGCACACCACAGGCCATGGGGCGTGGGGTGGCGGGGTGTCACTTACTTGATAAGGCTCGGACCACAAATATGGTATAGAATGTGATGACTCACAGGAGCTTAGACTGCCAGAGAGGGGGAAGGCTGCAAGGACCAGTCTAATAGCCAGTCGGTTCTGAGGTTCAGGTGCATATAACTTTGTTATTTTCACTCCTAGATCAAAATGAGCACTTAATCCTTGCAGTGTGGGGGTACACAGCAAGGGTTAAGATCACTTTTCCCTGGAGATCTTATGAAAAGGATATAAGTATTGTTGAATGTGATAACTCGGCAGAACAGTGGCTTAGTGGGTCGTGACTCTGCCTTGCAGCACTGGGGGGGCCCTGGTCCTGATCCCAGTAAGGACACTATCTGCATGGTGTTTGCTTGTGTGGGTTTCCTTCCAAATTCCAAATATATGCTGGAAGGTAATTGGCCCCTGTCTACATTGGCCGTGAGTTGGCGTATGTGAGATAGGAACCTTAGATTGTAATCCCCTTGTGAGCAGGGACTGATGTGAATAGGCACAGTGCAGTGTAAATTGTTGGTACTATATAAATGGTCCTACTAAATAGTTAATCATTTCGGTGTGTACTGCCCTATGCAACTGTAACCTGCAGGCTGTCATTAGTAGAAATCTTTATTCATGCGGCACTGCCTGTATGGGTCCATTGTATTATTTTCATCTGCATTTTCTTATAGCATCACAGGAAAGGCTGCACAGGGATGGAGACTGGAACAGAGTCTGTGCTGAGATGTTTTCTAACAAATGATGGCCAGGGTCACAAGACTTTGCCCCCATCTCTATTCCTGTTCATGCACCTTCACCTCCTGAGGTATGCATAAACCAGAGGCAATGCAGCATTGCGGTGCTCCCATGTAGGTTGGGCATGACAAATTGGGAATGATGAGTCTGTAGATGTGTTAAAGGCCACACTTGCTTATGGCAGTATTATTTCAACTCTGAGCTTTGTGTGTGCAGGTGGAGCTGCCCTTTAAGGCAGGCATTAGCACAATGCTGCATATAGTTGGGAGCTCCGGGCACTGCTCTGTGCCTGGCAGCTGCAGATCATTATCCAACACGACTATCTAGAAGGAATTATATGTTCCACTATACCATTAAAGAGAAATTGCAGGCAACAAGTGAAATCAGTGAACGCTAATAAGATCCAGAAAGCTGCTAAAGTTCACTCACGCCACCTTAAAGGAGAAAGCTAATGGTTTAGGGTCAGTTTTATTTCACATGTTTGTAAAGTGGAACCCACACAGCAGGTGAAGAATACAATGCTTGTATCATTTAGGGCAGTATTTCTCAACCTCTTTACCATGAAGGAACTCTTAAAATTACTTTCAGGTGTCGGGAACCCCTGATGATACTTATTATATCTACAGCTGACGGTGCATTGGCATGAACAATACGTTGGAGATATAGGAATAAATAAAGAATTAGAAATGTGGTGTGCTTGGCGTAAATCCCAGGACTGCTCTATACAAACTTATTTTCAGTTATAACAATGAAACAAATATTAATAATGTCCAAGTAAGAAACACAGACAGTGAATATTGTGTTCCTTCACATTGATGGTCAGTAAAATGGTTTATTTGATTGGTGGTCAGTTGAAGAAGGAACACCTTACATCAGTTGTGATTGGCAGGAGCGCCTCCTTCTTCTTGTGGTAATTGTGAGAAGGTCCTTATTACACTGGTGGTCATTGGGAGAAGGTCCCCATTACACTGGTGGATTTTGGGTGAAGGACTCCATTACACTGATAGTCACTGGAAGTAGTGCCCTATTACACTGGATGTCCCTGGGAGAAAGGCCCCATTACATTAGTGGTTATTGGGATAGGAGCCCCATTACACCAGTGGTCATAGTGAGAAGGGCCCAATTACAACCATGGCCATTGGGAGATGGACCCCTTTACACTTGTGGTCATTGGGAGAAGTAGAATAGACCTTAAATTGGTGGTCAGTGGCAATATGCTAATAATGAACAGTTGGAATGCTAATACATAAAACATGGCATAGATCTGCTGTGTGTCCTCTGCTGATGCATTTCCAGGGTCACTCCCCCTTCTTTCAGCTCTGACACTGTGACATTTGCAGTGCATGTGTTTGGGAATAACTGTCCGGTTATACAAACAGGTAAGCAGAAGGTGTTCCCAGATTACCAAAGTGTAACAAATGCACCAGCCACTGTTCGTTTGTTGCAGATAGTGCACAGCTAAAACGTTTAGGAGGTTTTGAGTATGCCAAATATGCTCTTCATCACTATCTATTGACATTTTCTCTACTGCAATGCAGACACAATGTAACCCGCACACCTGACCATCCTTAATTTTCTATAAAGGGAATTCTGAGGGCCCATTTACACCACACCGAGATCATCTCCAGACCAGACCAAATTGTTTCCGGACACAAAATGCATCCTAATGTATCCCGAAGCTATTTCTGGACTCTGCTCACACCAGCGCAGTCTGTTCCAGACCAGAAAAATACTGCACATTTAATTTTGTCTGGTCTGTAATGCACTGGAACTGCGGGCAGGTTCACACCATTTTCCGGACCAGATCTGGTCCAGAAAATGGTGTGAACCTGCCCTGAATGTTTATCCTGTGCCTAGGCCAACAAATTTAAACAGTCTATTTATTGCTTTCTAGAATTTGACCTCGATTCTGTTTGCTGCCTGTCTGAGCACACTTCTGTCTGCCAAATCGGTACCATGCTCAGCTCACCTGCTAGCTGGCTGTCATCGACAGGCATCCATGTGTTACACCACCCTGGGCATTAACTGCATAATATCCACA